AGATATAAAGGGGGGAAGGGAGGACGCTTTATCACCTTACTGGTGGTCTTGGGTTACAGCTGCTTGCCTTCTTGGTCCTGAGGGCCGCGACGGTTCGCCCCGAGCCGGGGGCCAAGCGCAGCCCGCCCCGGGCAGAAGGCCACGACGGCTCGTCCCGGGCAGAGGGCCGAGGGCAGCCCACCCCGGGCAGAGGGCCGTGATGGCTCGCTCCAGGCAGAGGGCCAAGGGCGGCTCGCCCCAGGCAGAGGGCCGCGATGGCTCACCCCGAGCCGGGGTCCGAGGGCAGCCCGCCCCGGGCAGAAGGCCACGACGGCTCGCCCTGGGCAGGGGGCCGCAACGGCTCGCCCGGGCAGAGGGCTGCAACGGGCTGAAGTAGTCTTTTTTTAAAAAAGAAGAAGAAAAAGTGTGTGTGTGTGTGTGTACCGTCAAATTGGATCTGACTGGTACAGGAGACTGCCTCTCCTTCTCCAGCAGAGCATGAAGTAGAGTCTGGGGGGTTCCCCCCCCCAGGTGCCTGTCGGGGCCTGGGTTTCAGCTGTCCACACCACAGTAGTGGGCAACGAGCTTAAAGCCCCTAATGGCTCTGGGCGCTGACTCTCACCAGTGGCTATGGATGAAGTCACAGGCGATTTTCAGCCAGCGCCAGCACCCTTCCCAATTTTGAACCATGCAGTGTTACCCTGCTCTGTTCTGACAACCGCCTCTTGGTCCAAGTATAGGTTTCGCATTAGCACGATTAAATGTTCTGGGATTCCCATTCTACTTTTTAAAAAAGAAGTGTTGGTATGTATGAGAGGAAACTTAAGCAAAGGCAAGAGACTTGTTAAGAGCGAGCCCTAGTGTACCAGCGGTTAAGTGCTCAGATGCTAACCAAGAAACTTGTTTAGACAATTTAGTGGCCTGTGCTGAAACTGTCCTGAAATAAAGTGAAGAGGTAAACTTTATCAAGCAGGAAGAACAGTTTTACCAACAAAGATAAGCTCCCTGGAGAAGAAGTACATCATACATTGTCACTGTTGGGTGCCATCAAGACGAAACCGACTCATAGCTGACTCATGGCCGGTTTTCAGAAGCACCCTGCCAGATTCCTCACGGGTCCACCCCGAATCCTTCCCGGATACCTGGTCAGAAGCATGCAGGGTCTGGGCCAGGGCCTCTCTGGGAGCATCGTTCACCAAGCTCAGGCCCCGAAGAACTACAGCATCGGCGTTGAGGTCATAAAGGGAGAACGACGCTGGAGCCAGGGCTGCAGATGGAGTGGGCGACATGACTGAGCAGAAGTTACCTAGAAATAATTCCAGTTAGGTGAAAGGCACAGCACTGCCCGAGGCGAGATCCTACTGCCACGTCCCCTGACTGCTGGACTTGGTCTCCTCTACGCTACAAAGTACCCTGGCCTTCAGCCCAGCACTCAGGAGTCATGCGGGATGAATTTGTGCTCCAGGATGCTTTTTCAAACTCCGAGCCTGTGTGTGAAATTGGGGAGAAAGCCGTTGCCAAAGAGTCCAGTGGAGTCGAAAATCATTAACGTTCTCTAATCGACCACTCTTCGTTATCCCAACGACGAGATCCGGCATCTACTCAGAACCGCACAAACTCTCCGCCGCCGGTGCAAAATGCATCAAATATCCTGAATAAGCAGGACCGCCAAGAAAGTCCGATTTCTGTAATACAACAGTACTTTCGCTACGGAGCGGTGAAGGGGACAAACAACGTGGCTCACACTTCGGCCCTGCCCCACGTCAAGCACGGTATTGGGTCTTGGGCTATGCAAGACCCGCCTCCAGCCTTTAGTCCCTCCCTCAGTGCCGGGAATTGGCCATGGCGTCTCCACCCCCTATGCTCATTGGCCAGGCTTTCTGCGGGTGATGGTAACTGGCAGATGACAGGCCTAGGGCTCGGGGTTTGGCCGAGGCGTTCTGGTCGAGCCCCTGGAATCACCCGGGTCAGCGTTCTCGAGGTGAAACGCTGGACTGGTAATTGGAATCCCGGGAACTGGATCGGGGCCGGGCCAGAGGTGCCCCTGGAGCCCAACAGTAGCTCACGGTGGGTAACGGGGAAAGGGGAGAGGCGGGCGGGGCGGGGACGCGCAATCAGAATGTTTTGATAGCGGGAGCGCGCAAGCAGGAGCGCGCCCTGGCGTCGGGGTCGCGCGGGAGGTTGTCCGCTGTTGGGAGCTGAGCCCCTTGGTCTGGGGCTCAGCGGTCCTGGGGCCGGGTCGCGGCGGCTGGATGTTGGAAGGCACCCCGGACCATCGGGGATGCCGGCTGTAGGCCTGGCTGGGTCCCTCTAACATCCTCCGGAGCCCCTGAGCCCAGGCCGAGCTTCCATGGGCCCTGGGTTCACAGAGACCTGGTGGTGAGTAGGGGTCTCCCCGAGGGCTTGATCGCTTCTCTAGACCCCGGGTTCTCACCACCCCAGAGAATCGCACTGGGGCCAGGCAGTGTCAAGGCAGGGGCTCCACCAACTGGATGAGTGCCACTGAGATCGTATCTGGTCCCAAAGAACCCACACATGTACATAGGATCTGCGTGGCAGTGGTGACCCAGTGAAGGTTTCAAACAAACATCGACCCTGCCTGCTAAGTCTGTGTTGCTAGGGAATCACAGAATGGGAATCAGAAAGAGCCTCTTTAAAATAAAGACTTTCCGTGGATGTGTGTACTAGGGCTTTCTGCTTGCCCGATTTCTGAAGTTGAGGTGGGGCAATGAGGAGACTGGGACCTGGGGCCAGGGCTGACACTCCACCGACCCAGTAAGGTCAACAGATCACTTCTTGGGACCCTAGAATTGGCTGTGCCCCACAGCCTGAAGCTGTGTTCTTAGTCCCAGGCTGGAACAATGCTGCTTCCCCAATGTTGCCTCCCTGATTCGTGTTTGGCCTCCTTTTAAGGGAGTGGGAGGGAGTGGGAGACTTCAGTCTTTTCTCACTCCCTACTCTTGGGGGCCTGACACCTTCTCCTCCAGCAGGGTCCAAGGGCTGAAGTGGAGCTGACACTTCCATGGAGCTGGTAGGGCCACGTGCTTATCTCACAGTTTGTTTACTAACTGCTTCCAAACTGCTGTCTCTTGGGAGATCTGGGTTTTTCCTGGAGGGGAAGGGAGGGACCCTTAACCTCCTTTGGAGAGAAGGTGGAGCCAACCTTTGAAAAGGAACAACAATCTGGCTTCAGGCCAGTAAGGTAGCAAAAGACACTCAGGAGAGGTCTGGGGAAGTCTGGCTAGAGTTAAGACTTCCCAAGCCCTAAACTTGAGTCAGTCACTCTTGTGGGCCAAGGAGGCTGGCAGTGGAGAAACCAAGCCCAAGGATTCCTTCTCTTGGCCTAGCGGGAGTCACACTGCATCTGAACCTGGATCTTGTCTTCATCACTGGCAGGTGGATAAGTTGGACAGGGGGCGGCGGTGATGGCGCATTTTGACACAGAATACCAACGCCTAGAGACCTCCTACAGCGACTCACCTCCAGGGGAGGAGGACTTGTTGGTGCACGTCCCTGAGGGGAGCAAATGTGAGTATTGGCCCTGACAGCCTGATCCTGAGACATGGGCGTGAGGGGCTGGCACTGAGAGGAAGAGGGGTTCATGTACCTTCAGAGCTCTGACATCTCTTCCCTTCTGTCCACAGCGCCTTGGCACCACATCGAAAACCTTGACCTTTTCTTCTCTAGGATATCCTTTTGTGGCGTGGTGGTGTTGGGACTTTAGGACCTTTAGTTCTCCCTCAAGGCCAGGTTCTGATGGGATTTGGGAATGATTTGACACGGGAGCGGAGGAGGGGAATGTGAGGCTGCTATGGAGACTGTTAGTATTGCCCGCAGCTAAGTGCCTTGCACTTGTGTTGTTAATTTACAAAGTAATCTCCCTTTGCCTCTCACCTTTCCTCCTCCTCTTTTCTCTCTCTGAGGTCTTCTCTTTCACAAGGTTGCAACTCAACTCATCTTAGTAATGAATGTCTTTTGACTCATTCAGTGCCAGCTCTGTGTTAAATATTTTATGTGTGTAGTTACAGACCCACTGGGCCAATTGGCAGCATCAGTATGGATGGTGAAGAGATTGAGATAGTTAACAGTTTTAGTTTGCTTGGCTCCACACAGTCAACACTCTTGATAACAGCAGCCAGGAAATCAGGAGACGAATTGCATTGGGCAAGTCAGCTGTCAGGGATCTCTCCTGAGATGCTATGCATTGGGGAGTTGGACAGTGACTAGGGATGATAGAAAGAGAATTGATGCCTTTGAGCTGTGATGCTGAAGAAGAGTGTTGAATATACAAGTGTTGCTGTGGGTCAGAACTGGCTTGGGCTGCACCAAAGGAGAGTTGATCTTGGATCAAGGGTCTTGTTGTTCCCAGTATACCACTCTGCAAGAAGGCTTAGAAGTAACTTGGTCAGGTTCACTCAGCAAGTCAGAGACCCAGGGCTTAAGCTCAGCTGTGTGACCCCAAGTCAGTGCTCTTAACGACTGCCTCTCTTAATGATTGTTTTTCCTTAATGATGACACGTCTATAATCTACACCAGAAGAATGGCTTCACTTGCATGCTCTTCGGAGAGATCTTTGAGCTCATGTAAGTATAAGAAGGGATAGAGGAGGGAGGAAAGAAATATGTCTGTGTCTCCTTTCCTTGTGTTTCCCTCTCGCCCTCACCATCACACTCAGTCCCATGCATTAAACTCTGTGGGCCTTTAGAATTTGGGAACTGGATGTTGCACTAAAATTTAACAACCTCACTTTACAGGCCTTGATCGTTAAGGAACTGGATGTTATACCAAAACTTAAATAAGTTTTCCAAGCATAGCCATTCCATGTTGTTTGGTTTTGTGTGCCATAGAATCACTCATAGCTGACCCTCTGGTGGGTTTTCAGAGGCAGTTAATCATCCAAGAGGAGTTTACCCATCCTCCTCAACCATGTGTCTTCAGGATTATAGTGCAGCTTCTTGCCACTAGGCCACCAGAACTCCCCTTCCATAGAAGAACTCAAATTTTTATACCCCCCCCAAAAAAAAAACTAAAAAAAATTTTTTTTTGATACCCAGTGGGTATGGTCTAGTTAGAAAGTCTATGAGATATCACTTGAGAAAAATGCCTCTGTTTGCCAAGGTTGTATTTTAGGTTTGCAGCTAGGCAGCTCTGTTGGCTTAGTGGTAAGAGGCTGCATCGCCAACCTAATGGTATGTGGTTTAAATCCAGCAGCTGCTCCACCGGAGAAAGATGGGCAGTCTCCTCTCGTGATTTTCTGCCTCTGAAAACTCACTGGAGGTCAGCTGTGAGTTCCGACTCAACTACTCACATCATCTAGCCAGAATTCTAGGAAGAAACCCTGAGCATTTCCAAAGAGGCAGAGGTTGGGAAGCCCTTTTTGAGGTTAGGAAGCTGCTCTTTTTCACTGAGAAAGAGTGTAGATCCTTAAATGGGGAGCTCTGGTGGTGAAGTCTGTAGTTAGTTGCTCTGCTCACCCGAAGGCAGCATCTCTCTGGCTGCGGAAATTCACCAGTGACACTGGGTGAGAAAGATGAGCGTTCTCCTCCCATGGGATTTAAAGCCTTGGAAACCTGCTGGGGGGTCAGCTGAGCTTGAGCTTGATATTTTAAGTTTGAATAATGAGAAGGCGAGC